TGTAGGAGCGACAGCCGCAGCCCAGGTGAAGGGTACGGGGAGGGACAGGAGCGTGCAGCGGGAACAAAGGAGCCGCCCGCAGTCACTTTGGTGGGAGGTGGGAGAAAGAAAGGGGGAAAAGGGGAAAAGAAAGGGGGGAAACAGGGAAAAGGGGAGAGAAAGGGGAAAAGGGGGAAGAGGGAAAGAATGAGAGAGAGAGAGAGAGAAAGAAAGAAAAGAAAGGAAGGAAGGAAGGAAGGAAAGGAAGAAGGAAAGCAAGCAAGCAAGCAAGCATCAATAGGTGAACATTCTGTAGATGTGCTCATTCTGCCGATTTTTTGTGCAATTGCACCCTAGGTTTTCATTCCCTGTACACCTTTGGAAGGAGCTCACTATGACAGGGCAGAGTCTGAAGGCTTTATCTGAAACGAATTTTGAAGACAATGAGATCAGCATCAACGTTGGAGGCTTTAAGAAAAAGATGAGATCCAACACATTATTAAGATTCCCTGAGACCAGGCTGGGCAAACTGCTGAGCTGCCACTCAAAGGAGTCGATACTGGAGCTCTGCGATGACTATGATGACACCAAGAATGAATTTTATTTTGACAGAAACCCTGAGCTCTTCCCTTACGTGCTACATTTTTATAACACCGGCAAGCTCCATGTGATGGGTGAACTCTGCGTGTTTTCTTTCAGCCAGGAGATTGAATATTGGGGAATCAATGAATTCTTCATAGACTCCTGCTGCAGTTACAGCTACCATGGGAGAAAAATGGAGCCAGACCAAGAGAAATGGGAGGAACAAAGTGACCAGGAAAGCACCACATCTTCTTTTGATGAGATTTTGGCATTCTACAACGATGCCTCTAAATTTGACAAACAGCCCTTTGGAAACATCAGGAGACAGCTCTGGCTTGCTTTGGATAATCCTGGGTACTCAGTCCTAAGCCGAATCTTCAGTGTCCTTTCAATAGTGGTGGTGCTGGGCTCCATCGTGACCATGTGCCTGAACAGCCTCCCAGACTTTCAGATTGTTGACAGCAACGGGAACCCCGAGGAAGACCCTCGCTTTGAAATCGTGGAACATTTTGGTATTGCATGGTTCACTTTTGAACTGGTGGCGAGATTTGCAGTAGCTCCTGACTTTTTAAAATTTTTCAAGCATGCCCTGAATTTGATTGACCTAATGTCTATCCTTCCATTTTATATTACCTTAATTGTCAACTTGGTGGTGGAAAGCAGCCCAACTTTAGCAAATTTAGGCAGGGTCGCACAAGTCCTGAGACTGATGAGGATCTTTCGCATCTTAAAGCTTGCTAGACACTCCACAGGTCTCAGGTCTCTTGGAGCCACCCTGAAGTATAGCTACAGAGAGGTGGGGCTTCTTTTACTTTACCTCTCTGTTGGCATCTCCATTTTCTCAGTAGTGGCTTACACCATTGAGAAGGAAGAGAATGAGGGGTTAGCCACCATCCCTGCTTGTTGGTGGTGGGCTACTGTTAGCATGACCACAGTTGGCTACGGGGACGTTGTGCCAGGGAGCACTGCTGGCAAGTTGACGGCATCTGCATGCATCCTAGCCGGTATTCTAGTGGTAGTGCTTCCCATTACACTGATCTTCAATAAATTCTCCCACTTTTATAGGCGTCAGAAGCAGTTAGAGAGTGCCATGAGAAGCTGTGATTTTGGTGATGGCATGAAAGAAGTTCCGTCAGTCAACTTAAGGGACTACTATGCTTATAAAGTTAAATCCCTCATGGCCAGTCTTACCAATATGAGCAGGAGTACCCCCAGTGAGCTGAGCCTGAATGATTCACTGCATTAGCGTACAAGTTTGACAGCAGTTTGCATGAGAGCTATCAAGAGCTATGTTTATAAATGTTTTCCAATTTGTCTTCTTTTTTCCTATAGTGTTGCTGACACTGCACTAACTTTGCACTTGAGAAACTAAAGACATTTCTTTTACAAGTTGACAGTTTGCACATTTTCATCCTGTTGCATAAGTACTAAATGCTGACATTTCCATTCAAATGTTACCACTTCCATGACATTAGTGCTAGTGGTATAGTGATGATCTGTTACTTTGTGCATTTCCACATCTGATCAGAGAAATGAACGTACCCAAGTGGAATAAAAATTCTCAGCTCCGACACGAGTAATGAAAAAATCAGCTATATCACCTATACTGGTATCTGTACTAGTGTAGGACTTCCCAGGCATTTTACAACAGTTTAAAACAATCACCTGTGAATCACTGACACGGGAACACTCTCCTCCATCTTTCTGATGGGTAATTCTGATCATCACATGTCTGAAAACACCTCTGAGCTTCACATTTCAATGGCAGTTTGCTTATTCTTGAGCATGTGTGTTTTCGTTAAAAACTGGCTGTTCTTGTTCTGAGATGTTATGTATGGTAAGATTTTTCAGAAGCTCCTAAGCATAGACCTACTTCTGCTTCCAAAATTAGGTCAATACTGAGCCCTCTGAAGAAGCCCACCCCTCATTTTCAGATAGCTAAGTATTCAAAGACTATGTTTTCACAAGTGACTCTAGGTATGGAGGCCCATGAAGACGTCTCAGGTTCCCATTTCCAGAAGTGATCTGCACACAACTCGTTTCCAGGGAAGCTGAAGATATGCTGTATTATTTCAGTCCATCAAAATGGTTCTGTGATTAACACACAAACCCGTGGGTTTTCAACAATTAGCAGCACCAATGAAAAACTTGGATTTGTTTAATGAAGTGAAATATTCCCACATGAACAGTACAGGCAGCATTTTAGGAACTGACATTCATATTCTGCAAAAAGACTAATTATAAAGATGCCATATGTGATGCTGAGCTACAAAATCTAATTTTATCAGGAAAGCTTGAAAGCAGTTGTTGATGGCAGACAATTCCATTAAGCTTTCTGCCAAGGAAACTCTAAGGAAAAAACCCCACCCTGTAAGTCTCATTTTCCCTCAGAAAGGAACTCACAACTTACAGCTGAGGAACAGTATAAGGGCTTCAGAAAGGAACAGATAAAGAAAAAGAGCTTAATACTCTGCACTCACTGTGGGCAGATCCTCCTACCTGCTTCTGTGATGCAGTCGATTTAAATCCTTTCAAGGGCTGGCCTGTACTTTTATTTAAAAAAAAAAAAAAAAAGATGTGAGAGAGCAGATCATCTGGGTTTTCGAGAGTAATCATGAATCTGCATAAACTTATTTTTTGAGTACTCAGGCTCTTCCCTTACGCAGTTGTACAGAGATCAAATGTTTGTAGCCAACAGGCAGAAACCACTGCTTCCCTCTCTTTATACTTCTAGGGATCTGTGCTATAAACCAAACTACTGGCACTCAGTGGGCATAACCGTATTTCTCTTCAGATCCTGCTGCTTTTCCATCCCATTTATTACATAAAATGTTCCAATTAATTATTTCTTAATATTTTTTTTATTTGTGAAGACTAGAGAGGTTCTGAAAATAAATTCAGACTAGTTAGAAGAGAAGTTAAAATACTAAAGCTAAACTTGTCATGTTTGGAAGCCTGTGTTTGTACATCACAACAAGGAGTGGCCCAACTTGCAGAATAAAGTGAATATGGTATGCAGAGGTAATTCCCTTTTTTAGGCTATTAGAGGTTGCTGTCTGGTCTGTATGTTTTGATGTTGTTGCTGTATTAGCTCCACCCAAAACCAGAAAGCTGAGCACCTAGGAACAGATTCCTGTTGGCCCAGTGATCTACCACAGAATACACAGTGTGAAATAACTTACCCCCCACGCCATTTCCTTTGAACACCCTCCCCTCATGTCATTTAGTTGATTTAGGCCATGAAGTGTGAGGGAAACGGGTCCTTTCTAACCTTACCAAATAGAACTCTTGGAGATTTCAACACAGCCTGCATAAGTTACAAAGTCGATAGGCAAGATGTTGCTTGCTGGCCCTGAAAATCAAAGAACTGTATACATGGCCGTGAAGGTAGACCTAGATAACCCAAATTAGGTATCCAAACTTGAAACATTTTGCTAGGGTTTTCACTTCTGGAGGGCTGGTTCAAGTTCTCTGCTGGGTCACAGGCATAAATTTAATAGTCTTGTCCCTGGTTCGTATTGCATGTGTGTAAACTATCATACACCTAACAAACACCCACCCAAAACATGGCACAGCGCTAGGTTGCCTGTTGGATTGAAATACCCCGGAAGAAAAAAGGGAAGGATGAGATGGGTTTTTGCAGTGCATACGGTCCGGCTGGGTTACATGCTGCAAGGGTGGCAAACTCTCCCACTGATGTCAAGGCCACTGCAAGTTCTCACCAGGTCTGTTGGCCGAGGGCCTTCAGAGAATCCAGCTCCAAGCAGTGTTTTTATCTCAGTTTCACAAGCAGTCAATTCAGAGAGTTGAAAACCAATGACTTTCAGTGCAGTTATTTAGAGAGACCTGTAAACTTGCCAAAGTGTCGCAAATTCCCTCAGCTGTTGCTAGTTTAGCATTACAAAGGTTGGATCCAAACTTTGCAACACGTAATTTCAATAACCTATAGCTTATCTTGTGTTCTAGATTTATTATTATTCGTAGGGCTGATTCTCTGTCATTTCTGCAAATATTGGATGGAACGTGTCCAAATTGCGTTTTACTAAAGAAAATGAAATATCCCAAGGAATTACGACTTTTATTGTACTGGCTGAAAGGAATTTTCATTATTGCTTTTTTATATAAGTGCTTTGGATCAAAGACACTAAATAAATAAAGTATTGAAATTTAATATGTTCCTATTATCATGACAATGACTTTACACAGTACACAGGAATTCCCTTCATAAACTTAACTAACTCCATGTTAAAAGTAGTCAGATTTTTGCTGCCCCGTCCTCTGGAAGAGCATTCCAGAGCTGCGCTGCTCTCCAAGGCTTGTGCAACTTTTAGCATCATTTTATTAATGGCTGCTTTATATCAGTTTTTTTCTCCTGCCACTGCTGTTCTTTAGCTTAAATATTTCATTTTCCTTTTAGCGTTTGCATGCGTGTTGTATTTATAGACAGCAACCATATGCCCTTACTGCTTATTTTCACAGGATTATACCTGCCAAGCTTCCTTTTAGTTTTCTTTTTGCAAGTCATTTTCCCCTGACCGTCCTAGGGGATGTAGCCTTTTTTTCTGCGTTACTTCTGTTTAGATTTAATTGGTTTGAGCTGGCATTGTACACTGTTACATTGCTTTGTACAGCAGTTTTGATACTTGCTTATGACTAACAGAATTTTTCAGTGAGGAGGATGACAATTGTTCCGATTTAAGTAATGTTGTCTTAGCTCCCCCAAAATATCTAGGTAAGGAAGAATGAGGCACACCCTTCCTGCCATTTTATGAAGTAATCTCTGTTCTAGGGCTCAGTCCAGTAAGTGCTCAGAATCCTCATCTCTCATTAAATAGAAGTTCCAGAAAAGTGTTTACACTTCAAAGGAAAAATTCAATCTCTCCAAAGCCTCAATGAGGAGAAGAGGTGGTGTACTTTTTGAGTAGTCAGTACTTTTGCCAGACTTCTATAAAGCAGCAGGTCAGAAATGAAGGATGAGAGGACTCACTGGCTGCTTTCTCCAGTGTTTGAAACTTGAAAATTGTTGTGGTCTGAAATCTGCTTACTATGGCTGTGCAGTTCAATGAAGAACGTTGCACTTGGCATGTGCTCCTCCTGCCTTGTGACGGTCACCTTCCTGGCACCGGTGAAAGTGCTGCTCCTACTCTCTTTCAGCTGCGAGCTTTGAATTGCTTAAATGAGGATTATGGTAATATTTCAAACGAGGCAACTTACTTTATTGCCAGGAATAAACTGTTAGAGAATCTTGATTTCTAGTACAAATCTAGGCTATTATGAGAGTCGGAGATGTCCTTGAGAAGCAGTATGTTACATTATTTTCCTGAGATGTAAGATCTATATATAGATTGTGATTAAGCTTTTTATGTATGCTCAGATTTTGTATTATTGCCTGGTTTATTACTCACTTACTTTCATCACTTGCTAATTCCCCCTTTCCCTGCAGACTACTTTATCCATTTTGAAAGCAGACTGTTTCTTCCTCACATATTTAGCATGAGCTACTTCACATTGAAAACTTAAAACCAAAGAACTTTGCATTTAATTTTCCAACTTTAATACCTCCAGTATTTGTACCTTTTTGTACAGAACTTTATGAGACCGCAGGGAACTACTGTATCTGGTGCTCTTTGTACCGCATTTCTTATCCCAGTAGTGTATAACACACTCAAGAACTCAGCTTTGTGCAACAAAATGGAAATTAAATGCATAAAAAAGTAAATTTCACCAGGGATTAAGAACTGATTTAAGTTTCAGGATATCCTGAGCATATATTATAATCAAAGAGAAGCCTGGATCTCATTGTGAAGATAGGTTTCTTTTAAACATATACAACAGACTAGATTTCTATTTTTAGAAATGCTCTTAATTGGTGGTTGTGGTGGGGAACCCGCATTTTTCAGTTGAGCAAACAGTGCAAGCTTCTTGTTCTCTGCCTCACAGATTAGGGACTAAGCAACACACCAATAGCACTTGTAGGTGCTAAATCAACTTGACATGACCTTTCATCTCTTCCGAAACAACCCCCATCCTTAGCAGCCCCAGCTGTGCACACAGCAGCAGCAGAAAGCCCCTGGAGTAACTGCTCTTGCTGCGGTAGTGAACCGTTTCCTCTCACAGTACTCCTGACTTTAATCTACCTTTGACGCTATTTTCAAACAACATTCAACCCACAGTCAGCACTCATATCCCTTGGTGAGGTGTTGTGCCAGAACTATTTTTTTCTCATCATGTTATTCTTCTTTTTTTTCCCCCCAATTTATGCACCTGGGCTTCCCATTAAGTTACACCAGAAATCAATTTGATCTCCTGTAATTTATTTTCAAGTTGCCTATTATTTAGGCAGGGTTAGGGGAATATTCCCATCCAGTTTCTGAAGCATCTTTTACTGATTCGGCCTTTTTCCTTCAAAAATAGAAAAAAAAAAAAAAAAAGGGCGGGGGGGGAATCAGATGAAGCTTGTCACCTAAGAATAATTTACCAGGTTACCAATGCAACAACAGGCAATACATTATTCAAAGTAACAGTTCTCTGCTTAGTAGATTCAGAGACAGCCGTAATGTCTGTGCCTTCAGAGCAACCATTGAAGTT